CAAGTCCCCATTTACATAAAGATCTGTCTGTTTCCAGGCTCTGGACTCTTCTATTTCTCTCCCTGTGTCCACAACTGCTCCATTTAATAAGTTTTATTCTGAGTGGGGAAAGTCTTCTCCCTTTCTTTTCTTATACCTCATTCTCTATTTCTTTCTATAAAAATATTTTAGGCCATTCTCAGCCCATTTTTACTTTCGTGTAACACTCTGTGTCAGCTTTTAATGTTCTGCAAACTCAATTTATTTTATAAATTAATTAGAGACTTATCTCCCTCCTGACATTAAGTCCTGCAACCTTGTACACATCTTCTCTCTGTATATTGAACACTTCCTTTAGATCTATAAATTGAATTTTATAATTGTCCCAGTGAAGATATTATGATTCTTCTGTTAGAGCTTTCTTCAGATACATTTACTGAATTGTACGGAGGTATGAAGGTACATTACTGATTTTGTACATTACTCTGACCCAGAAATCTAGGTGAACTAGATTATTGGTAACTAATAGTTTATGAATGTTCTACATTTTTCCATGTTGACAATCATAGCATCAGCTATAATGTTCATTTGGTTTTTCTTCCCAATCTTTTCACATTTAAAATAATTTGTCTTAATACACTGGCTAAATAACCAGTACAATATTTAAATGAAGTAATTATTATTTACAAATTATCTGAGTGGAGCTTCTAATATCTCCCCATTAACTATGGTGGAGCTTCTAATATCTCCCCATTAACTATGGTCTTCACTCAAGTTCTTGGTTGGTATTCTCTATCAGGTTCTGGAACTTTCCTTTCCCTAAATTTGTCTAATGTTAATCATCTTAGCATTTCTAAGATGAATTCCACTGATCGTGCTTATACCTTCAATGTGTTTTGGTTCATTTTGTTAATTTTTTATTTCTTGATTTTGCATCATTTCATAGAAGAAATTAGCTAACAGTTTTCCTCTGTGGTACTACAGTTCACATTTTTGCAACCCATATGGAATAAAATTAGAAGGGCTTTTTACTATCCTCTAGAAAAGTCTGTATAAAAAAAATTATTTATGTCTTTTTTAATTGTTTTAGCACTTACTAAAAAACCCTCTGTGTCAGATGAATTTTATCTGAATTTAATTTTAACTACTGATTAATTTCTTAACAGTAACAAAAATTATTCATCTTATTCTAGTCATTTTGTTCATCTTTGCTTACTAGTTTTCTAGAATTTCATTCTTTTCATTAAAGCTTTCAAATTGTACCACCCATATAGTTTCTGAAGCATATACACACACACCACACACACACACACACACACAAAATCTATGATTGCCTTTTTATTCTTTGCTTTTTTCATTACTCTTACTCAAAATCTTCCTGCTTTGCCTTTCATAAAACCAATGCTTGCTTTTATTAACACTCATGCTTCTTTTTTGCACTATTTCATTAGCTTTTACTCATTTTCTTCACATTCTGTCCCTTCTATTTTAATGCATGTTAATTTCTAACCTTGAGATTTCCCAAATAAAAACAGTGTTTATAAAATCAAACTCCAAACGCCAGTGAAATGATGGCAAGGACTGGGATTTCCAGGGAAGTAAGCATCCTTTTCTTCACCTCCACTTCCTGTTCATCTTCCTAAGCTGCCTGAAATATTTTTAAAGGCCATCTTCACATAGAAACTGAACACACTTGAGGCTCTTGGCTTTGGGCAGCAGTATCAGTTTCACCTTCCTTTTATCGCCTGAACCCAAGCCTCCTCTCTTGACTGCATCTGGCTCCCTGGCAATCAATCTACTACCTCTGCCTCTTCTCCCCAACCCCGACCTCTCCATGCACACCCCAGAGTTAGCCTCTCTCCCTTGTTATTTCCATTTCCAATTTTTTCTTCAGTTGTAGACAAGAAAAGAGTTCTCTTTCTTCCTTGTGGGCTCAAATATCCAGCTCCATTACTGTTTTGAATACGTTTTCCCTTCTTCTGGTGTTTGTAGAAAGAGTGTTTCTGTTAGCCTAGTTGAACATTTCTTCGGAACAGGAAGTTTTTCAAGGTATATTTTCAGACCCATAGAGTCAATATTTATATACTCTATACTTCTGTCCTCTTGTTAGATTATATTAACAATTGCTATTACTTAGAGAGCATACAACATAGGTGCAGAGGGCTTTGAATATCCTGAACTTAGTTCTCACAACTGTTTCATCAATGAAGAAGCATAGGGTGAGGAGGGTGGGGGACTGGTGAACAATTTTCCCCCAAATCACACAGGTATTCAGCAACAGAATGGGATGCATCTTGTATCTGTCACTCCCTGAAACAGATGTGACTGATTCCCAAGGCCCTGGTTGTTCAATAGTTTCTCTTTTCTGTACAAGGTTGCCAGGTCCAGGACATCAGTAAATCCCTGAAGAGCCATATCTGGAAAATCCTCTCTGTAGAATTTACCTTAAAGTGTAAGCACTCTTATTTACCAATAAAAGTTTAAAAAGATTTTTTGAAAAATGATGACTTCTAATTACAAGTGTCATCATCCACAGAAGAAGAGAATTAAGAAGGAGGAACATGGGTCGTTTGGAACATGGTTTCCACATATGCAAATGTATTTCAAACTTCCCCTGAGGACCTTTGTGCAAAGCAGCTGGCTAGTGTTCCTAGGCCTCTCACAGCTCGGCTCAGTGGTTCCTCATGCTGGCAGAGTTCCTGTGTCACCAGGATCTGCAAGCGTGGCCAACCAAATGAAGAGGAAGTTTGCAATTAATTAAAAATAAATGAAAACAAAACTCTTCCCCCAGTGGCCTGCTTCTCATCTTGGTTGTAATCCACAGTCAACATGTGAAGAGCACGTGAGGCATTTACCAAATGGAAAAGGTAGAGGACTGTGTCGAAGAGACCACAGACGGCCGCTCTGGACCACACTAATAATTCTTTTAAATCCTCTCATTCCACCTCATCAGGAGACACAGCGGCATTTTAAATCTGACTGACCCATATAAATTACCTTTCTACTCATCCGGCTGTGAAATTAACAGTCTGGGAAGACAGGTCCTGTCAAGCTTGCTGTGCTGAGTTGCTGAGGATTCAGAATAAATGGGGGTAGGGAAAGGAAACCTGGCACCTACAAGAAGACGTAGACCCTGAGCTGCCAGCAGTGCAGTGGGCTTTGCTGTCACTGAGCTGGGTCAGTGTGAGAAGGGTACTCACTTAGGAGGTAAAACTGCAAGAGGAAGTACTGTGAGTCTGGAACCCCTACCAAGGTGGCTGGGTCAGACAGGAAGTCCCTCCAAGAGGATCAGCTACTGGAACTCAAAAGTAAAATTCACATAGTACTTTCCATTTTTAGTGTTACCTAAACTCACTAGATTCTTAGAGTGGACATTTAAACTGCCATCATCCTTATTTCCCAAATTTTAATATTACTACTAATATATAGATTAAACTAGCTACTTCTTTTAAACTGCATTAGTAAATGACTAAATCATGATATAATTTTGTACTGTTTGAAGATGTAGTTTGGAAGGCCTAGAACCAACCCCTTAACTCCTGTAATTTCTTTTATAGCCTCACCCATCCCTAAAATGACAGTGTCCAAAATTTCTTTCTCTATTCATAGAGATCTTAACATTAAGGAGAATTTGGACTTCTCTCTCTTCACCAACAGAGAAAGACCCAACTTTACCAACAAACTCTTATATATTAGGAGATGAATGACAACAGAGGGAGAAAATCACCTTGCTACTCTCCACCATATATGCACATGTCAAAATGTGCATGCAGTTACACAAATGCACACAGAAATGCTATGTGCTCTTCAGGCTGTAATTGGTGTGATTTGACCAAATGCCTGCATGGAAGCGGGAAGACAAGAGCTTAATGGCAACGTTCATACCAGTGCAACAGAGAAGCACAAGCAAGACTATTAGCTAGCTAGTCACCATTTTATCCTGTTATTGGGTATGAAAGATTATGTTATAACCATCCATTTACTCACTCTTTGTTTTTTCTCAACAATTTTTTATAAGCCAGGTATCCTTTTTTTTTTTAATTGGGAGAATTCTTTGGCTTCATTCTGTTGCCATTATGATTACTGTTATTTTTAACATGTTCCATATGCTAGATGTTTAAAATTATCATTAGTTTTTAGATTTTATTTTATAGTTTTTACATTTACCTACATGTGTATACATAATTTGGGCCACCTCCCCCCCACACACACACTGCCACCATGCAGAACATGTTCTGCCCTCTTGAATGGATTAAGAAAATGTATTTCTACACAAGGGAATTTTATTCAGCCACAAGAAGAATGAAATTTCGTCATTCACAACTAAATGGATGGAACTGGAGAACGTCATCTTAAGTGAAGTTAGCCAGGCTCACAAGGCCAAAAATCCCATGTTCTCCTTCCTATGCGGATTATAGATCCAAAACAAATGCAGTAATATTATTGGACATGGGTTGCACACTAAGAGAAGAACACACATGGGAGGAATAGGAAAAGGGAAGGAAACCTAAAACTTGAATGTGGTTGATGCACTCACAGTAGAAGAGCAAATATAATAATCGTAAATTGACAGAGGTCACTATGGGAAGATGACCGGGAAGTAGTGAAGAGGTCAGGTAGAGATGAACCAATGTGGATTGTAATACATGTGTATGGAAGCAATGCTAAGAATCTCTCTGTATAGCTATCTTTACCTTAAACTAACAAAACACTATGTTTTTCTTATTATCGCTTATGTTTTCCCTTCAACAATTTTTGAACTAGGTTTTATTAGTAACTTTTAACAGTTCAGGAAGATTACATAATATCAAAGATCACAATTTATGAGGCATCTTTGGAATTTGAATCGAGGTCTGACTTAAAATGTCCTGACAACTTTCAACTCCATAGTCCATTAAAACGCACAGAGACAAGACTCAGTCAAGCAGAAAAACAAAAAATAATCAGCTTTACAATTCCTCCCCTCTGCTCTTTCCCTGCTTCTATTTTTTTTTTTTTTTTTTTTACTTATTTATTTTTATTGTTTCTCCTTTTATCAAAACCTGTCACAGCTGGGGGCCCAAAGGAAGTAAAAAAATTCCCATAAGTATTCTCCTCGTTCCCTGTTAGTTTTCCCCCAACTCCCTGACCCAGAGCTTCTGGCCAACCCTGGGTACACATGATCATCTCCACCCCCCACCCAACCCCCAGCTTTCTCCCAGCAATAAATACAGGTGACCGTGATTCAATGAAACCACAACAGATTTCTCCATCTTGAATGCCCAGGGGAACAGAAGGGGGCAAAAGTTTAATGCCCATCCCCTCTTTAAGGAGGTGTGGAAATGTTTCTCTCCCAATGGACAAGGGAGGTAGAACTGCCTCTGTCATAACTGCAACTCTGAAAGGAATTGCGGAAAAAGAAAATGTTGGGATGAGAGGGAAGAGGACATTCTCCAACAACCTCACTTTTGATCCACACATCCCTTACTAGGTAAGGGGTGGTCCCAGTGTTATCAGTGGGGCAGAGAAAGGGGAGGGCTGTCAGAGTAGAGCCAGGGAAAGCAAATAAAAGACAGCAGGGCAGTTTGGTAGGAAAAGAAAAGCAAGCAGAAAAGGAACACTAAAATTCATTGCCCTCATCTTCTTCCAAGAAATGGCACCAACACACAAGAGGCATAAACGGATGGGGTAGAGGGAAGAATAAGGGCCCTTAGGAAGGGAGAAGAGAGGCAATAGCCTTGTGGTCCTCAGGTCTTCGAAAGTGAGTATGCTCCAGAGTTAGAGCAACCAGATGTTGGGTGGATGAAAGGAAAGGCTTGGTATCACAGAGCAGAAGAGATCAAGAGGTCACAAGAATTCAGAGCTCAGGGACAGCTCTGTCATCCTGCCCAGATGTTGACAGAATCTGGGTCTTGGGATAAGGTGAAGTCTGGGGAGGGTCAAACTCCAAGGCAGAAGAAAGGGTTAACTCGTGCCACCACTACACCCTTCCCTACAACTCAGAACACATTCCATGGGTTATCGTAGGTGAATACTCCAGTCAGATGCCACATTGACACTAGGCTTCCTCAGAATCAACACAGAGGTTTCAGGGTCATGCTGGAAGGATAAGTGGCTTTCAGGAGATCCTTTTCTCTGGAGCACCACAGCTGCTGGCTTTCCAGTCCCTATTATCACCACTCGCTCAATCCAGACTGGTGTCTCAAGATGTCCTTTGGGGTCTGCTGAGCTAGAAACAAGGGTGTTGCCAGAAAATGAGAACCGACGCAACAGGAATTCATGGCCAGTCTGATAGTTGAATGTGTGCCCATCATCCAGAAAGAGCTCTCCTTGGGCTGTACCCTGAGCAGAAAGTAGGGCAGTTTGAGCACCTGCGGGCTGAGTGCAACAAAGAGAGTGATGGGGTCATCCTTCATACAGTCTGAAGAGCGCCTCACACGCATCCATCGAGGTACAATTGTCCCTCCACGCTGGAACACAGGGATACTGCTTAGAGTTACAGGCAGGTACAGGGTCTGGGGACCTTGATGCTTCTGATAGCTTTGAATGTCGTACCATAACTCTCCTTGGCCAGGCAGATAAACCTGCACACCATGGGCTCCAGCATCAGATACAGGATGAACCAGGAGTGCATCCCAAGCATGAACTGATCATCTATACTGAAGGTGGTCACATCCTGAGGATACTGCACCCACAGGGGCCTCATGACAGGAAACCCTTCACGATGGGCCTGATAGAAGAGAGTATACCAGAAGGGCAGCAAGGAGTACCGCTGGCCTAAGGCATCTCGGATTATATCTTGGTACTGAGATGCTAACAGCCACGGCTCTCGCCGCCCAGTGTCCAAGTGGGCATGAGCCCGGAAGAATGGCTGGTAGGCACCCATCTGGTACCAGCGAACAAGCAGCTCTGGCTCTGGATTCTTGAAGAAGCCACCCACATCCGCCCCACAGAAGGAAAGTCCCACCAGCCCCAAGCTGAGACACATAGGAATAGAGATCTTCAAATGGCCCCACTCAGCACTGTTGTCCCCTGTCCACACGGCTCCAAAGCGCTGGGAGCCAGCGAAGAAAGCCCTGCTTAGGACAAATGGGCGTTCTACACCACCAGAGCGCTGTATTAGCCCATCAGCAGTTGCCATGTGCACATAGAAGCCATAGATGTTATGGACATCCCGGTGCTCCCAGCCCCCATAATGCTGGGCATCCTTGAGCATGGTGACTTCAGGACCATTGAATACAGATGGTTCATTCATGTCATTCCAGACATAGAGATTGGGAGCTGAGCCTCATAATTATCAAAGCTGAACATGTTAGCCCACCAGTCCCTCATCACAGGATTAGTGAAATCAGGGTAACCAGCTGAGCCTGGCCCAACACCAACCCTCATAGTCAGATCCATCCCAGGGTTTTAACATACAGGCCCTGTTTCCGAAGCTCTTCATGAACTCGATAGCCAGAGTCCACCTTGATGTGGGGGTCCACAATGGCCACCAGCTTTCCGCCTCTTGGAGGCTAAATGCTCAAGCATGGTGAGGGGCTGAGGAAAGCGGCTGGGGTCCCAGGTGAAGTACCGCTTGCCATCAGCATGTTCAATATCCAGCCAGATGACATCACAGGGCAGGTTGTGATCATCAAAACCCTGATCCACTTCTAGCACATCAGCTTCATCCCGATAGTTCCAGCGGCTCTGGTGATAGCCGAGGGAGAAGAGCGGGGGCAGTGCTTGGGTCCCCGTGAGACTAGCATACTGCCGAAAGACATCAAAGGCTGAAGGCCCAAGCAGCAAGAAGACATCAATGATGCCACTCTCTGACATCCAACGGACATCTGTCTGTGGGGTCTCCCCAGAGCCCTGCAGGTAGTCCAGCATCTTCCCAAACAGGGTCTTCCCTGCAGTGTTGGAGGATATATCAACCCAGGTCTCAGCAGCATTGAGCCAGAAGATGCCCAAGTCTCGATGAGAGTTGTGTGCCAGGAGCATAGGCACAGAACCATACAAAGCCATGGGGTTGTCCAGCTCATACTGGAACACATCCAAGTTGTACAGGCGATACGGCTCCCCACCTTCAGTGACCTTCAGCCTCAGGTTGTCTGCATGTTCAGGAATCCCATACACATGCTCCATGCCTGGCAGAGAGAAGTCCAAACCCACAGATGTGGGGCCATATGGCTTGCTGTCAGAGTGAGTTTTAAATGTCTCCTCCCAGGCTCCTGGCTCATCTTTCTCTCCTTTTCCCTGGGTCTCCTCTGGCTTGTCACCATCCCCAGGCGTTTCCTCAGGCTGGGCCCCATCGCCCTCAGCTGGGTCTTTTGATCCTTGCCTAGAGAAAAGGTTCTTGATCTTATCCCATATGCTACCGAGCGTGAGACTAACTTTATCCGAGAAAGGGACCCTGGGAGCCCTCTGGTGCTCAAATTCCATGAGTCCTCGGGCATTAACACTCAGCAGAAGGCTGCGATCCTCTAAGAGGTCAAGGCGGAATGGACGAGCTGTCAGGATGATTTTGTAGGGTCCCTCAGCCACTGTTAGCTCCACACTGTTGTCATCACGGCCAGAGATAGAAAGTCTAGCTGTGGGGGGATCAGCCACCAAAACATATGGCACACGGTATCGAGGCCGCCGGGGCTCCAGTTCATCAATCCTGATCCGAGTCATGTTCTTTTGAAGCCCCTGAAGCTCCAGCACCAACAACACCTGACCTTGGTGACCTCGTGGATCAGATGGACTGTGAGGGCATCAGGACCAAGCTGCACAGAGTCGAGCAAGGCACGGTATGGAGAGAGGCCTGGCCGTATGTTTCGTTGCCTCTTGCAGAAGGAACTCTCTTCACAGGTCTTAAAGTTGCTTCTATCCACAGCAAGGGTAATTCCCACGCAGACCCCTAAATATGCCAGTACCAAACCTGCCCAAGACCGCCTCCTACGCGCCGCCACTGCCGCTACCGCCGCCATCTTGTTCCCTGCTTCTAAAGGGGAAACTAAGAACATTCTAGAATAGAATTTTGTTTGTTCTGCTTGGACTATTAAAACTGGATCCCTGTCCATGCTCCTCTGAAACCTGAGATTAAAAGAGTTACGAAAATGGTCTCAGACCTTAATGGAACAGTTAAGTGTAGCAACAGGTGACATAAACTCCCAGATGAGTACTCTTCATTCATTGCTCAAAAACATGAAAGCATTTTCAAGATGAAGATATTTTCTTTATCTTTCACCTGTCCCAATGATCCTGAACACACATAATCCTAGAAACGTGATGGCCTACAAAAGTTTCTTTCCCTTGCATAACTAACACATGAATGTATCATTGGTGCTTTCCTCCACCATGAAGGAGAAAATCAAAGCTATCAAGTGAAAACGTGTTCTTTCACTTTTCTTCATTCTACTCTGACAAGGAAAGTTTCAAATGACTTAATTTTACTTCAAGTTCTTATGGAATTACTCTGAAGTGTTTCTGTTTGGGTAATTTGAGTTTTAGTAGGCAAGTTAAATTCTGATATTCTGTATTGCATGAGATTAGGCTCTAAAAGTAATATATTTAAGACATGAAGAGGTCTGCAAAGAAATTCACGATCTTCAAGTTAGAGACATTTTGATGTGCAGGAAAATTAAACGAAAAATTTAAAATTAAAAAACAAGAACAAATAAATTAACTAGGAATGACTAAAGAAACTCTTCCTATGTAGATTCATACAACTAAATAAATAGGTAAACTTATTAGTACTTTAATCTTTCTTTTTAAATTGATCCATATTTATTTGAGTTTCTAATAAAAAGTTTTGAAATGAGCTTTTAAAAGTAATTTTCTGGGCCATTTTCTCTCCGTTCCTAATCCATCATTCTTTGCTCAACTTTTGGAAGCTGGAGCTGAGAGTCTGCAAAATGCATTTCTCCTTTCCCCGATGAAGTCCTGTTAGTTTCTGCCAAAAGGGAGCATTAGAAGGAGACTAGAAGACTAGAGGAGAGAAGACAATTGTTCCTTCCTTTTGTGTCTAGCCTCTGGCTTTTTGAGGCACTCTTTAAATTAAGGTCATAACCCTCCCCCACTGGAATAAGACCACAAACTCATGTGTTGAGTCCCGGTTTAACCGAGGCTCTCCTCCAAACACCACAGTGCCAGCATCAGTGAACATCATCCCCTTCCCAGCTTCACTGAGAAGTGAAGGCTCCTTCAGGCCTTCATGAACTGCTGTTCCTTTTGTGTCTAGCCTCTGGCTTTTTGAGGCACTCTTTGAATTAAGGTCATAACCTCCCCCACTGGAATAAGACCACAAACTCATGTGTTGAGTCCCGCGGTTTAACCGAGGCTCTCCTCCAAACACCAAAACAGTGCAAGCAGTCAGTGAACATCATCCCCTTCCCAGCTTCACTGAGAAGTGAAGGCTCCTTCAGGCTCCTTCATGAACTGCTGAGGTATAAACAGCAACCTAGCACCCTCCTGGGAAGTCTAAGGGCAAGCTCCACGAAGTACCTCCTCAGCTCCTGAGGAACCAGAAGCAGTCTAGACAGCACCCCCTCCGCAGATGCCTGAGTCCCAGCTCTGCAAGGCTTCTCTTCCAAACACTGGATTTCTCCTTGTGTCCCTGACCCTAGAATGGTGGTAGCTTCCTGCAATCATTTATTCTGTGTCACCTCCGTATTTGTTTTTTGATGTTTTCAATCCTCCAACTTCTGTTAACCAATTCTCTATATTCAATTATTACAGAAAGTAACTATTGTCTTTTCTGTTTTTCTGATTATGCCTTGACATCACAATAAAAATGAGACTTTATGGAGAAACAGATGGTGTTGCTGGTCTACAGAAGTAAGTTAGAATGATGAATGTTAAAGTATCACTCATTACTATTGTTACACTATGATACCACTATTACCACTATTGTCATCTGATAAGAAAATGAGGGAAAGAATCTTTCTAAATGCAATTACCTTCAGGTTTTGAAGGACTTTCACGTGGCAGAGAATTTACAATAATACAAAGTACCAAGGGAGTAGAACTAAGCCCAAGACACAACAACATGGCAGAGCAGAACTTCCTTTTCCGTGAAAACACACACACAAAAAACTTCTAATAGTCAAATCCTTGGTTACAGAAAAATCAATTTAAGACTCTCAAAACCCTGACATCCAATGCTTCCACCAACAGTTGGAAATTAATAGAGAGGTAAAAGAGGGATGGGTATTGAGGCATCATGTGTGCTAGGTTTAATGTAATAGGCCAAAAGCAACCAGAAACCAATCTGATTGCCCACAGGACAAAATTGATTACCCAGAAATTGATTTCTAAATGCCCAGAAAAAAGATAAGGTGATCACTGACTAACACTATGGTCTCCTGTCAGATATACCAAAGGCAGTGCAAAAGGCAGGAGCTGTGTTTAAGAACTCAATAGTGCAGGGTTGAGGCACTGGTTGTTTTGTTTTGTTTTTCGTTACTCTGTTACAGTTGAGTACTATCAGGGGATGAACTAGCTTCTGTGCAATATGAAGGATTCTGGAAGCTGGAAACCAATGCTTTAAAAAATAATTCTTCTAGTATTCTAATCAGATGCTGCTCTGAGATGTCATGCTCAATACTGCATTTGTGTAAACTTTTGATTGGGAATGTCCAAGGGTAGCCAAGGGAAATTCAATCTCTTATCAAGTTTATAATGAAACAGAAAAGGAAGAATGAAAACACAGAGACCTTAGAATTGGCAGACAGTCACATTACACACCAGTGTTCTGAAGCTGAATTTTTAAGATCGTTGGTACAAGTTTGGTTGACCTTTTCTTCTCAGAAAAGAAGATTCTCATAATATCCAAGCCATAAGAAATCCCAAAAGCAATCACCTTCTGCACCAAATCTAATTTGTTAACATAAGGGAAAGAAAAAAATACTAGTGTGCTTCCCTCTTCCCTCCCTCTTTTTCCCATTCCTTAACATCCTTCTCTAACTGCTGGGGTTTCCTAGAAGCCATTCAGAATATGTGCCCTGATAATACTTTCATTCAACTTTGAGAAACATTTCTGCTCCCACTAAACCTCTTGTGAAGTTTCAATTTCCATATTCAGTCAGAAACCAGTAGGGGAAAAAAGAAAACCAAACATAATACAAAAGACCCCAGATTCTAAGGATGAAGTTCTGTGATGTTTTGTCCACATTCTTCACCCAGTCAATATTGATAAGTGCAGGACTGGTGGAGTGGCTCAAGTGGTAGAGTGCTGGCCCAGCAAGCATGAAGCCCTGAGTTCAAACCCCATTACCACCCCCTCAAAAAAAGTTTACATTTGAAATATTGACAAGCGCAAATATGGTGCCATAGCTGTTTCCTAACCCATTCCGTGTGACAAAGAGTACTCACAGCTTGTTTGTGTTCTTAGAAAACAGATTCTTCTACATCTGTGTAATTACAATTACATATTATGTCTCTCTGCAGGTTTTTCTTTGTTTTTTTACAGTTTCAAGTTTGACTTTCCCTTAATCTTGCTCAAAGAGTCCTCAATTCTAGCTTTTGGAGACCTGCAGTGAAGAAGTCACACATACATATCTAAACAGGAAGTGCGGTAAGAAGTAATTTGGTCCATACCCCCACAAATTTGTTAAGAACATGGATGGCTAGTTACATTTGTTTATTTAAGTAAAAATGTAATCATGTGTGATTAGCCTATGAATTCAAAGCCAGCCTAAAATTGACCTTCAAAAGGGCAATTACTATTTCCTCCAAAAGTTCTTAACGCCAAGTGAGAAAACAAAAGGAGTACTCTGTTTCTTGGGCACCCATGGTGCCTGTAAGCCTGGAGTTGATGTCATACAAGAATGTAAGCCAAGGAGTCTTTGCTCCCATTTCCTGTGTAAGAAACAGGAAGTGTTTCTTTTTTTTCTTCTCCCCCAGATCCCGCTTCTTCTCCATACTTTATTCTGTTATACTGAAATACATTTTTGCTAAAACTTAAAAGGAAAAAAGAATGCAGGCCAAGAACAATCAATTTGATAGAGATGTAGCAAAAACAATGATGAAGATAAGCTTAGTATTAATAATAAAATTTCAATCAACAATAATGCTCAGCTGAGGTTCAGAAGGATTAAATGACTTCCTAAACTTTCTTCTTCCAGTAAGTGGCAGGTTAAGCTGTAGGCGAGAACCTGACTCTCAATGTTAGGCCTTTCTATGATTCTATCACATACAAAGACTACTGCACAGCACACTTAGTTTTGACTCCACAGGGAAGAATTAATTTTTGATTTTCACCTTTGTGAATTCTTTGCATCCTTTAAGACTCAGCTCAAGGTCTACCTCCTCCAATAAATCTCCTTAATTATACTCTACCTGTGTTTTCTTCAACCTCGGCAGCCTATGGCAGATTCCTTGCCTGTGTTGGCAATTACTGTGTCACGGGCATATTGTCACTTCCCCTACCAGGTATTACATTTTTATAGTTTCTAAAATGTCTAGCACACCAAGACATAATAAAAAGTCAAAATGCTTACCAATTAGCTAATCAATTGGTTGAAGATTTTATTAAAATACAATTTAAATTCCCCTTCCAACTTTCATCCCTTTTTGCAGTGGAGACCCAGGATTTTTTGTTCTGCCATTTTGGCATTCCAATATATGTTACTTTTACAAAATTTTACCTCAGTTTGAATGTGTACACCTAGGCCAAGGATGATATTCAAAATCATTAAAACCATTATGTGGGAATTACAACCAATCAGAGTGGAGCAAGGACCCAGAGACTATCTTGTCAAGGGTTAGCTTTTTAGTCGATGGATTGATGTAACAGGATGGCCAGGTTAATGGGTTTAGGGCAAGGTCTCCCTACCAAATACTTCTAATAGAAGTACTTCTACTAGTTTAATAACTGATATACCTGGACTGGGGTAAACTATTATCAGCATCCACCTGACCCTATAATCTTCAGATGAGGTAAATGCCAATAGAAAAAATTAAGCAGCTACTAGATATAATTTAAAGA